TCCCCCCTAAAATTTAATTGTTCAGTCGCAACTTGGATTTTTTCTGGGTTTACTGTGAGCCCGTTTTTACTTAAATGATCAAATACAATTTCTAATAAATCTAAATCACCACACTATTTCTAAATGTGCAATATGACTTTCCCAATCCCTTGAGAATATTATCAGGTCATCAATGTAACACCAAACAAAATCAAGATCATGGAATAATTCCATCATTAAAATGCTAATTGCTTGGGAACCAATTTTCAAACCAAAAGGTGCGCGATTAAACTGATATATTTTTTCACCGTCGGTAAGAAATCGGGATTCTGGCGATAATAGCAATTGATGAAATAATTTTGTTAGATCCAGGGCTGAATAACATTTACGGCCCGCTAACTTGTCCATGACTGATTTAAGAGGGGGAATGGGGTACTCAAAATATTTTAATGTTTTATTTAATTCCCTATGATATATGACAAGACAATATTTTCCTTTTTGTCCCTTCTTAACTACAAAACACGGACTGCAATAATTTGAAACCTTTTCAAAAATTATGTTTTGATTCTTTAAGTCTTTTATTATTTCTTGGGTTGCTCGTTTTAGAGCCGGAATTAAATAATATGGACGACAACGTACTGGATTAGAGTCTATTAATTCTAATCGAATTTGGAAAGCGTTGGCTTTTCCTATTGGATCGTTTAATACTTCTGGGAAGTTCAATTGTATATATTCTTTCAACTTTTGATGCGTTACATTTAAATAGTTGATATTAGTAAGGTATTTAGAGGATATACCAGATTTTTATTGAAACCGAAGTACTTATTTTGTCTCGGATATAAAATCAAGTCGCTGTTTCTGAAAATCATACCCCAAAATCATTGAGACCGGAAGATATTTTATGACCAAAAACCTAAATTTCCATGAAAACTCTTCAATTCTAATTTTTAATTACAATCCGTTTTTGGGTTCTACATTTTCTCCGTTTACAGCTATTAATTTTAAATTTGTCTGAAATTCGTTTTTTTGGTTAACTATTCTTAGTGCACTGAAATTTTGTTATTTATAATGGTCATAATTAATCCAACCCCTTTGTTATAATTTATATGATTTTTGACAGCGAAAACTACGAGTCCTACGAGTCTAATTCCTTTTCCAATCGACTCAGCAGGTCGAACTACATCGAAAAAGTCAATAAATTTTTTTTCGTTTTTTTGTGTGGGTTTTTTGCGTTTTTCTCGAAAAATACGTGTCCTACGAGCCTAATTCCTTTCCCAATCGACTCAGCAGGTCGAACTACATCGAAAAAGTCAATAAAAATTTTTTCGTTTTTTTGTGTGGATTTTTTGCGTTTTTCTTGAAAACTACGTGTCCGACGAGCCTAATTCCTTCTCCAATCGGCTCAGCAGGTCGAATTACATCGAAAAAGTCAATACATTTTTTCCGATTATTTCCGGATTTTTGCCTTTTTCTCGAAAACTACGTGTTCGATGAGCCTAATTCCTTCTCCAATCGGCTCAGCAGGTCGAATTACATCGAAAAAGTCAATACATTTTTTTCTCGATTTTTAAAGTTGTTTTTTTTGCATTTTTCTCGAAAACTACGTGTCCTACGGGCCTAATTCCTTTTCCAATCGACTCAGCAGTTCGTACTACAACGAAAAAGTCAATAAATTTTTTTCGATTTTTTTGGGGGGATTTTTGCCTTTTTCTCGAAAACTACGTGTCCTATGAGCCTAATTCCTTTTCCGATCGACTCAGCAGGCCGAACTACATAAAAAAAGTCAATACATTTTTTTCGATATTTTGGGGATTTTTGCGTTTTTCTCGAAAACTACGTGACTACGAGCCTAATTCCTTTTCCAATCACAGCTCAGCAGGTCGAATTACATCGAAAAAGACAAAAAAAATTCGATTTTTTTTAGTTTATTGCGTTTTTCTCAAAAACTACGTGTCCTACGAGCCTAATTCCTTTTCCAATCGACTCAGCGGGTCGAACTACATCGAAAAGTCAATAAAATTTTTTCGTTTTTTTGTGTGGGTTTTTTGCGTTTTTCTCGAAAACTACGTGTCCTACGAGACTAATTCCCTTCCCAATCGACTCAGCAGGTCGAACTACATCGAAAAAGTCAATAAAAATGTTTTCGTTTTTTTGTGTGGATTTTTTGCGTTTTTCTTGAAAACTACGTGTCCGACGAGCCTAATTCCTTCTCCAATCGGCTCAGCAGGCCGAATTACATCGAAAAAGTCAATAAATTTTTTTCGATATTTTGGGTTTTTTTGCGTTTTTCTCGAAAACTACGTGTCCTACGAGCCTAATTCCTTTTCCAATCGGCTCAGCAGGTCGAATTACATCGAAAAAGTCGATAACATTTTTTTCCATTTTTTGCGGTTTTTTGCGTTTTTCTTGTTGATATTCAATAATATTATTATTATTTTTATTTGTTAATTGCTTGTTATTATAAGATAATTTTGATGGTTATTTGTTCGTTATTATAAGATAAATATTGATTAATGATATTAACATACTTAATAAATGATTTTGGTTGAGGTATTATAAGATTCACAATTTTTTTGCATCATTTATCTCCAATTGTATTTATACATGGATTATTTAATCTAGACATAATTTTGCAATAACAATGATAGTTGTGTACAGTCTCGTGCAAGTAACACCTTCATGTTTCACGATAAGAGATGGACGGACAATTGTGGTGATTGTTTTTTCTTCATGGTCAATTGGGTACGATAGGAAAAAATAGGTTTCATATGCAGGGGTATTATTCATTAATATTTCATCATATTTTTCTTTGTCATTATGGTCCGTATGACCACGATAACCAAGAGATCAGTCCCTAAACCATTAATTAAGCCTCTTTTGATTCTAACATTGTTATTTCTATGTTCAGGTGAATATGGTCTAGTTTGTTCTGAGTGACTTCTAGGTATTATTTGAGTATGTGTGCTGGATTGGTTTCTACACTTTTGAAGGTTTTGTTCAGTATGTTGAGAATGTTATCTATTCTTCTTGTAATAAGGTTGTGTTTATATGGTGCATATAGGAATGATTGTTTATTATGTAAGAATCTTGAATTTTTGAAACTACTATGCCAGTCGTTTTGTAACTTTATAGTAGGAGGGAAGTAGAAGGAACATTAGTAACATCTTGACCAGATATAGATTTAAAACCTGTATTATTTTTTCTAGGTCTTTTTATTCTAATGGGATGTATTTTAAAAGTTGGTTGTTTGTTTTTAAATATTCTAGAATTAATTTATTTATAAGAGTTTTATTGTCAGAATGGTTTATATACAATGTTATTCGGTTTTTGCTTTTTTTATTTTTATCTTTTTTTTAATAATAGAATCTTTCGTTCCTCTTTCAAGGATTATTTGATTGTTCTCTGTATTTAAGATTTTGTCTTCATCCTAGTTAAGTAATCGCTCGAAGGAGACATAACTTTGTCAAAACTGTACAATGTTTAAGTTTAAACCGACAGAGTGACGGCGACAAGGCTATCGCACGTCTAAGGCATGGATATTTGGGGATTAGGGTTTTTATACTGTTTTAAAGAAATTCTGCTTAAGATGATGTGCGGGCGTCTGGACCAGCTAGACATTGCTGACGTGTCGGTCTGAGGGGCAATTGGTTACTCCATAAGTTTTATTTATTTTTTATCTTTTTTTTAACTTAAAAATCATACCAATATTTGATTTTTATAAAATAAGTTACTAATAATAAGAAATAAAATAGGTTATTATGCAGAAACTTATAGACTAACAGGGTGTTCGGCTATTCGTGTTACAAATTTTACCAGTAGATTCTACATTCAAAATGGAACAGACATGGACATACTTACAAATGTTTTTTTTTTTGTCCAAAAACACCGGCACCCTGAGGGTTTATATGACCTCTGCTGTTGTGACCCTCGGAAGAAAAAACTACAATAATAATTAAATTCACACGAGCATCTGAGGTCACGATAGCTCAAGTGGGAGAGCAGCGGCGTATCAAGCCGAAGATCGTGGGTTCGGATCACGCTCGTGCCATTGACTTTTTTATCTCAACTAAAAACCTTAATCAATTGTAATACAATAATAATAATAATTATTATTATACAATAATAGTAAAATACAATAATCCTTTAATCCAAGTTGCAGTCGTTGTAAATAAATAAAAATAATAAATACAAATAAGTAAACACCTGCACTACACATTTCGGTTTCGAACCCAAATTACAAAATGTTTAATAAATTCATTCAATATTTTCATGTTTTTTAAATTTTTTATTATTATTAATCGTTCCACCTTACCGTTACACCACAATCCGTCAACCTCGGTTTTTTCCTTCATCAGTTTCTTCATCTTTGAAAAAGAAATTAAAAAAGCAATTATACCACTAAAAAGGATATTAAATGGAGTACGTTTTCTGAAATTTGCTGGTCTCAAGGTTTGGAAATAGTAGTTTAGAATCACCATAGTAATTTTTCAACTAAAAATTTTTTTTCCAAGTTCTGGCTACTAAAACGCTTTTTTCACCAAGGTTTACAAGTTAAGTATTGATCACGCCTTATTGGAAATTTAACGTAGTTTTCTATGGTATCAACGGATTTGTCCAAAACCTTGTAGATTTGGAGTTATCCTTGTTTATTTTAAGCAAGTCGTGAAATCTTAAAAAATAAAAAAGTGAATAACTCCAAAACTGTTGAGATTCGGACAATAGATAATTAGGACTTTTTGGTTCCATTTTGAATGTGGAATCTACTGGCAAAGTTTGTAACACGAGTAGCCGAACACCCCGTATATAGGCTAAGGCCTTATAACATTAACATTAAATTTAAGAGAATCTTTATTAACGTCAAATAGATTCACCCATTTGGTTGTACTATTGGGACGTCAATAATGGAAGAGATACAGTTACCGTCCAAATTAGTTAACTCTTCGAATGAGAAATTGGAATAGTGTTTTTTTTTTAAGTTTGTGAAAATCGTAGAGGATAAATTGAGCGATAAAAGACAAACATTGAATGAACAAAAAGAATATTTATTGACAAGATTCAAAACTAGTCATACATTACAATTTGCAATAGGTGGCCGCATGTGGGGTAAATCAAATGACGAGGAAATTCTGAAAAAAAATTAGGTTTAAAAAAGGCTAAAGGATTAAAATAGGATGAAAAAAGTTTTTCTTTTACAGCAGGATCTTTTCCGTAGATGCACTGGTTGAATTTCATGGCCATGTCGCAGCCGTCTGATCCTTCTGTAAATTTATTTATTTATTTTTTGAACGAGGACTCAGTTAAGTTAAAAGATTACTTACTAGTGTCTTTGCATGCCATTATGGACTTGCCCAGAACGGAGAGTTCAGGTGGAAGTATGGATTCGAAAGCGTCAGCGTCTAGCTCGTCATCCTCTGTGATCTATAATTGCAAATTTACCCACATAATCAACAAACGATATAAAAACGAGATATAATTTAACACTCACGGCGCCCATTTGTCCAAAAACACACTTGAAGTAACACTGAAAAAAAACGTATTATATTTCATGTCTTTCCTTTCCAAATTTTCCTACCTTCAGTTTTGGGTCATCAGCAAAATTTCCATTCTCGCAAGGCCCGAGAAGTGCTTGTTTAAAAAAAAAATCACAAACAAAAATAACATTTCAATTGTAAAAAGATCAATTTATTTACAAGGGTCTACTCCTGTCTCTTCGATACAGTTGTCACGAAGCGCCTGTGCCATTTCTTTCATGTCTTCTGGAATTTTCGCTGCTCCCTTTGAACAGATACAAAAAGTAACAAAGATAGATTTGTAATTTAGGAAGGCTAGGACGATAGATAAAACATTGTAAAATCTGTTAGGAGCTAGTGAAAACAAAACAAGAGCTCATTATCGTGATATTTTCGTCAAATTGAGCGGAAACAAGTTTATATTTATAAAAATACCTTGGGTTTTTAGGTAAAGTTGAAAAGGCACAGATACAACAAAACGAGCTACAGCAATCAAAAAAGAACTCTTATCTTGATACTTTCATGGATCTAAACGAGAATTTATCTATTAAATTTAAAATTTTCTGAAGTTCTAGGTAAAATCAAAAAGGCAAAGTTTCTATGGGAATAGGCTTAGCAACAAATGAAATCTAGGAAAGAGAATAAACCGTGGGAAATCTGCCATGAACTGTTATTCTAATACTCTCATCGAATTAAGTCCAAAAAATAAAAATTGGAATAAAATCTGATTTTTTTTAAATTTGTTAATTTCAAAAGGCTTTATGTTTTATTTAAAACCCAACATTAATTGATTTGAGTTTAGGAACAAGGAGAAAATTGAAGGAAATCTGACAGGAGCTATTATCTTCATTTTCTCGGGAAATGAAGCTATTTTTTAAAATAAGATATTATTTAAGTCCTTGAGCTTAATTTTATAATAGTACAGGATAAGAGCCCCTCGCAGTTTCTCTTTTTTCATGTTTTTCCTAGTTTATCTATTTAGATGATTTTCGGTCAAAAAAAAGCTTTCTGGACTTAACGGGGGACTGTATAAAAGGAAGATTTTGTTGAAATTTAATCAACCTTTAGCTTAATTTGACGAAACCATCAGGATAAGAGCTCTTACTTGATTTTGCCTGGGTTTTTCGTTTTCCTTAGCTCCTTTTGAGAGCCTTGGAATTTTCAGTCGTCTTCTGGATTTAAAAATTTTTGAATTTAACAGAAAGTCATGAAATTATGAAATTCGGCGAAAGTATAAAGATAAAACCTCCTGAAAGATTTTTTTTTTTTTTTGAGGACTGGAGAACTGTCGTATTTAATTAAATAACGAAAGAACATTGTAGCTTAATTTCTTAAGAATGGGGATGAAAGCTCCTAACTGATTGTCTTTGGTTTTATAGTTTTTCCAAGCTTGTCTTAATTTATGTATGTTTGATTTTAAGTTTAAAATAGGTTTGGGGAACAAATCTATAGAGATCAAACAAAAAGTCCTAAACCAATGTAATGATGGCGCTTTAGTCATATACACCGATGGTTCCAAAATATCACATATGGTAGGTTGTTCTCATGTAATTGAGGGTCACCTTTCTATTTTTCGTTTACCCTCACTTTTCAGTTCATATAATGCAGAAATATTTACCATTTTAAATGCTTTAGATGATCCCTCTATCAGTCACCATAAAATAATTATATTTTCTGATTCTTATAGTGCGCTTCAAGCAATTTAGAATCCGTACTCCAAAAATCCATTAGTTCAGAACATTTGGCAAAACTTACAAAAAAAATCTCTTTCTCTATTCTTCTCCTCTTCGAAAGTCTAAAAATGAGAAATCTCTATAAACTTATATAAATTTCCATAATTTCCAATAAACCACTGGTAGTACAAAGGCGATGATATAACCTTTGATGTTTTTTCCCTTTTAATAAAAAAAAGTTGTTTAAGTTAAGTTTTAAATTAAATTATTTTGTTTATGTCATTTTTTCCGACTTACTTAATTAACCAACTTAACGTTCGTTACGTCATGCCTGCCTTGTTGGACAATATGTGACGTCATTGTAGTACTTTTGAAATCGGTTAACGAAGATAGTCTTTCGGCTCTCTTTTCGTACTGTTGTGACACGTTCGGTGTAGAGATTTTATCGAGAAAAAAAGCTTACCTTGGCGCAGGCAGCTATGGCCGAGATCACAAGCAGTACTGTGAGCATCGTCCCTCTTCTAAAACCGCACTGCTCTACCGTCGGAGGAGGATCTCTATTTATCCTTCCAGAGGCCGGATGGTCGGACGGGTTAGCCCCTTATTAAAAGGGGCCGAGCCGACACGGAAGAGCGACTAAGGGACGGAGGAGTTTAAAAAACAGTCAAATTGATTAATAAAATAGTTTTATTTAAAAGGCAAATTATATGGTTTGCAGGAGAGCAGCGGGTTTTTTTCGGTAAGGGAGGTGATTAGATGACTATGAAGCTCTGAAAATTTTTGGTTTAAGTTAATTTTTTAGTTTGTTAATCTTTTTTAGAGGGGTATGCTTGAGTCGTACTTACTGCTGGGTCTTTATCGTAGACGCACTTGTAGAAGTTCATTGCTAAGTCACAGCCGTCCGCACCCTCTGAAAAAGAACGAAGATCAAGTTTTGCTGCCAATTTTTTTTTCTGGGGTAAATTTGGCTTACTTGATTCTTTACAGGCGCCCACGGACTTCATGAGACCGACCGCCGTGTCAGGTAGGATGGAGGCGAAAGCGTCTGCGTCAAGCACGTCGTCATCACTTATCTGAAAGAGAAGAAAACCATATTTTTTCAATTTAGGGGATTTAGGAAGGGGAAATTTGATAGATTTAGTTTTTAGGTACTTACTGCTCCGACCTGGGCGAAAATACACTTGAAGTAGCACTATCGAAACACAAGTAGATAGTTAATATTTGGACTTTTTTGGTGCAGCTTAGGAGGGCTTACCTTGAGCTTGGGGTCGTCGGCGAAGTTGCCAGTCTCGCAGGGCTTGATCAACCCTGTTAAAGATAAATAATGGCTATTCATTTTAACAAAAAAATTGTCTTGAAAGAAACCGTACCCGGATCGACTCCTGTCTCGTCAACGCAGTTGTCATGCAGCGCCTTCGCCATTTCCTGCATGTCTGGCGGCAGCTCCGTCAGCCCCTGAGGACATAAACGTTTTAACAGGTTTGGAAATTTCGATCCTGGAGAATACCTACTCACGTAAGAGCAGGCGATCAGGGAGGAGAGAACGAGTAACACGAGCATGTCCGAAATCTACTGGACTTACCGGAGCCCCCGGGGGAGTTTTTATATTTGTCAACATCGATTAGAAACGGATGGACGGGCAAATTTGCGGGTGTAAAACTGCTAATTCAATAATGGCTATGATCGGGCATGTCGGAATGGGACGGTTGACGCTTTGGCCCGCGTAATAACGGCCGACGGGGAGGAAGCCGCTTCCTTCCAAAACTTCCAAACAAATATTTTATATTAAAAGAATGCCTCTTTATCAATCACTCTTCTAAATCATGGTAAAATTGCCCGTTTAAGCACACCAAATACAATTGGAAAACATGAAGGTGACATGATCTAGCATATCTTTTTAAAAAGATTGAACAACACATTCTACCATTTATCATTTCTCTGATCTGGCATAACCTGGACAAATCGACTGTTTGGTTTGGGCCATACTCCACAAAATTGATCAAACTCGTGCTTATTCAATTAAATAGATTTCCAAATAGCGAACGTGTACAAATTAATGATGCGGAGATTATTTTTTTCCTAACATTTCAAACGATATAGGTTCATTTATCTCAGGGGCAAGGTGACGATTAAACTTGAATTTTTTCTTATAGAAATTGAGCTTTCTTTCCACTAGACTACGTAGGTATGAAAAATAGTAAACGCCCCTTTTTAATCAGGTATCAAGGGAGAACTTCAAGATGTCAACATTCGGGCATAACCTTGTCAAATCGATTCTTGGTTTTCGACCATATACCACAAAATTGGTCAAACGTTTTGCGCTCAATTTTCTCGAGTTAAACTAATGATGTGGGGGAATCAAATTTTGGGACGTTGATGTGACTGTGTTTTGGTTTGACCGATTATTGTACCTCTTATGTTGTGATTGCTGCTACATTAGAAATTTTCTTTTTCAGTCAGTTGGTTGACATATGGCATATTATAAATATACATAAATAAAACCATGTTAATTCACGTAGTAGTGCAAATTCTCCTATTATTCCTTTCCGTTTGCATCGGCGAAGTTGAAAAGTTGAACTTCATCGTCGTGATCACGTCCGCCAAGTCGGACTGCAACGCTCTGATCCGTACGAGCGTCGTACTACATACGCTCTGCAGCTGCGTCACAGTGCCGAAGGGCGACAGCATCGTCCCAGTCCCCCTGGACTCGATTAAAGTAGTGACAGGAGTCGGAGTGAAGCTGGTATCGCGCATCATAGCGCATCCAAAGTGCAAGATTTCCGACGGCATCTACGTCTACAACTCCGCCCTTATATTCCTTCAGAGCCAGATCGACCTGATGGTCGCCCACGAGCCGGTGCGCGAGCCCGCCTTCTCTCGGAGGGAATTCGACTCAGCCATGAAGCTGAGGTTGCCTTGCAGCGTGTTCGGCACGGTCAGAACGGCGTGCGAGCCGGCGTTCCTGTCCGACTGCGTCAACGTCGACGAATGCACGGATCCGATCTGTATCGCCTACCTGAAACACATGACGTTCTGCATGAAACCGGAGAACCTGAGCAAGCCCGCGATCCCAGGGGCTCCATTGGTCTGCAGCAGCGGTCTGGTCTGGGGTGTGAAACTATCCGATCACCTTAACTTCACTCTCTTCATGAAGACCACGGTCTTCGACGAACTTGAAAAATCCTGCTCGCCTCCGGCAATCCGAATTGGGTCATACCTCCTATTAGTCCTTGCGTCCAAATCTATCGAATCCCTGTTATATTTAAGGCAATAAATATATAAACAAAGTCTTGACGTTTCCTTCGGTCTCTTGTTTAAGACCATTGCCGACATTCCAACACATATGGTCGTTGAAAAACAAAATTGACTCAGTTGTCGTTCGTTTTTCAATTGTCTTTCGTCGGTAAAGTAAAAATCTCAACCTTTGTTACCTGTGACGGCTGAGTTTCGCGTTCCAGGCATGGATCGGGCTCCCAGGCCCGAGCCTCCGGGGAGGAGGGCGGATCTTCACCGGACGGTCCTCAGGCGTATCAAGTGCGAGATAAAATCGTGCAAGAGCTTCTGCGACAGGCGGCTGAAGCGTCGCGTCCTCCCGGCCCAGCATGACGAGGAGACGAGGTTCGGCATCAGGCTGTCGAGCAAGTTCACGTGTAAGTGATCAATATTAAAAGTCGGTATTCTTTTTTTTTTTTTTTTCCAAAAAAAGCTAACCGTTTAAGGCTTGGACCTGTCACGACTGGAGTTCGTCGCACCGATCCAGAGGTTCAAGTACGCTGAGTTGACCGTGGCCGTCCTTTCGGGACGAGCGGGGGCGGCCAAGAGGTTTCTCCGCCGGCTCACGAGGCGGATCAAGGAGTGCAAGTCCGTCTACGACCGGCTCCGAGGCCGGGTCGCACCCAAGGAGCGGATCTCTGTCTCCGAGAAGGTCCGCGAGCCATGCTGGTGCTACTCGGGCCGGTTGGACCTGGCCGGGAGCGGACACGGAGACGAAGCTCTCATAGGGCTCAGGACGTGCTCCGCCTTTCAGATCAAGGAGGAACCCGCCCGATAACCATCCACCTTTCCCCTTCACGTTTGAATGAAATCCTATCGTTTATTACAATAAATTGACTGTTGAGATTATGGACATATGTTAATTTTTAATCGATTCGGGGGGGGGGGGGACATTCACTTTGGAAAAGATCGGCCTATCTTCGCACTTTTGGTTTAACCGAAGAACGATAACCGAAGAACACTCTCTCCCTAAACAAAACCATAGTTAAGCACCACAAGAAACAACACAAAATGTGAACGTCGTCCTTAGAATCGGCAACCATTAGTCCAAGTGGCTTATCGAGCAAGCTGGGTACAAAACGTTTCTGATCAAATAAAACCTTCACGGAATATATCAACACGGATGTAGGTAAATAATAGATGCAGGTTTTAATTTGGAGGTTAAGTTGGATAAAAATTACTCAAGGTTGGGTCAATGAACGCAGGTTAACTCACTACACGGTTAACAAGTATGAGTTATGCACTAAAGGTCACTGAAGGAGTTCCATATTAATTGCTTAGTAAACTGGGGTAGGTTCGCTGACTAACCTCGATACTCATTTCTTTGTACGATACTCAAAATTGAAATTTGAAAAATTATGAGTAGCGGAATCTTTTACAAAAATATGAATCTACATATTCCTCCACCTTCATAATTTCTATTGATACTTATTAGTCGCATGTTAATTTTACTTAAGTCCAAGGGGTACCCAGGGGTATGTGAAAGACTTAGTAACTATTCGATACCTAGGGTTTAGGTTGGCGTTTTGGCCAGTCCAGTAAAGGTTGACAAGATCAAGGTTAAACAAGGGTTTCGGTTAGCTCAATAACTGGCTAGCATGTTTATGGATGCTTGAAAAAAGGTTAACATGGGTGTAGTTTAGCTTTCCTTCTTGTTGGCAAAGGGTTTGAGTTTTTAAAATAGAAATTTAACTTAAGATTTAGGCTTCTAAGTGGTGATATGATGTCTAACCAAGCATACAATTAGATACTTAGGCCCCTTTCACAAGGTGGTAAACGGACCACTTGACATTGAATTATATGGTGTCAGCTACGTTTCGCAATAGCGCCAGGTGCCTAGGTTAATGATTCAAAATTTGTCTATGATTAAGGTTAGTTTACTAGCAGATCCCCAGGGATTAGAAAAAACTAACCACATATGTACCCGGGCTTACTAGTGTTTATATATTATTATGTTCATCAAGTTTAGAAGAAAGTTAACTTGGGGTTTAGATTACCTCATAGGCGGTTAGTATAGCGTTTAGGTTATCAAACCAGAGGTTAGTCATACATCGTCTTGTTATGTCTAGGTTATTTAAAAGGAGATTTAAGATTTAGGTTAGACATATAATTTAGGTTATCTGACTAAAAGGTTAATATGAGTTTAGATTATCGTACTAGAAGGTTAGTTAGGGTTTAGATTTATCAATCTCTTTAAAATCTACGAGATAAAGAGCATGATTAACCTAAATAGAAACGATAAAGGTGGGTGAGTATGTTATTTAATCTCTTTAACATAGTTTCAAACTGTGAGTAAGATCTCTATGTTTAAGAGATTAAATAACATACTCACCCACCTTTATCGTTTCTATTTAGATTAGTCATGCTTTTTATCTCGTTACGTTTAGGTTATCAAACTAAAGGATGGATGAGCGTTTTATGTTCGAAATCCGGATAAAACAAAAGGTAAAAACAAATATGTGAGTAGAACCCATTTTCAAAAAGTGATTAGACGTATCTGACTCATATCTCATCTTTATTATTTCTGTTAGGTCTAGGTTTAATTATTGAAAGGTTAACATAGGTTAAGGTTACATCAGTTGACTTTATATTTAGGTCCTTTTTTAAAAAGATAGTTCCTACTCACAGTAAGTTGTTTTCCAACAATCCGGATTTCGAGCCCTTAGCTCATCATCAGGCTGAAGGATTTCTACAACACAACACTAATTGATTTTTGAACACCGCACTCACTCCATCATTCATCATTTCTATTATATTTAGGTTTTTTACAAGGTTAATATAGTATTTTGGTTAGCTCAGTAACAGTTAATTTGGGGTCTGTCCAAGCATAGAAGATTTACCTAGGTTTTATGTTAACATACTAATTGGTTGGCATAAGATTTTGGTTAGACTAGAACCTTAATTTAGGACTTTGATTAGCCCAGTTGACGTATCTGTCCAAACTTGGAACGGGGTTCTTCTAGTGTTTAGGCTATTTTAATATTTGGATGACGTTGCGTTTATGTTACCTTATCAGCCATTTATCAAAGGTTTATGTAACTAACTGGTTAACAAGCATAGACATTGGTTTACCTCGGTTTTGGGTTATCTCAATATTTGGGTGTTATAGCATTGAGGAGTTTTCCAGAAGGTTCATCCAGGATTGAGGTTAGCCCTATAGAAGGATTACAGAAAGTTTAGGTTAATTTACTTGACTGTTAAATGTTAACCTTGACGGTTTATATGTCAGCAAGTGGATCAGCGGATCGGTTCAGTTTCAAACATTGTCAATTATCCTTAATCGAATTATGAGGCACATAGTTGGGTATCAAGCGGACCGTGGTGGTTAGGAAGACGATTAATTGGCACCTTGGTATCCTGCCGTACTCGAGGTTGACGTGTCACCTGATTTTCCGCCATTTTCCTTTTAAAAAATTATTACAAACAATAAAAAAGGGACACTGCGTAGTCCATCGGTCAGAAATCACGTCTGAAATTTAAAATTGACCTTCTCGCATTGTGCCAAATTCCTGGAATGAAATAAAAAAATAGTCTTTGTTCGACCGGTTTAACCGAGGGGAGTCCTTGGCGTTCTTCAAGCTTGCACAGACTAATGACCGCCTGACTGCGACGGGCTATGCTATTATTCCCAAAAGGGTAAATTACACCGGATGGATTGACAAGGCTCATGGAGCAGTAAACGAAACGTTTATGATTTTTTTAAAACAATATTTCATCGATTGTGCAACGACCACGGTTTTCAGATTAAGCACATTAACGGGTTCACCCTTTATAACCTTCATACCTAATCTATATTTCGTGATAACTACAAATTACTTTAGGCTTATTATTACTTTTTTCCTAGTTTTTATTCGGGCATTAAGTTTAAATTCAAGATACCTCCTTACACCAACCAAACCCAGTCTACCGAGTTCATAGGTGATAACCTTAATAGAGCTAGTCTTAGCCCCCTGTGGATGCTCAGCATTTTTTCCCTTTGATAAGCTCAAGTTATCTCCTTACATCAAGGTGCAGGTTTCAAACGACAACAAAATTTAGTTTATTGGGTGAACTGAGCTAATTCACAGGTTTGTAAGTAATAACCTTTAATTAATTAATCTTCTACGTCGACACCCAAATTTGTCTATGATGACCTTAAGTTGCCTTCTTACATCAAGCACAAGTGTACATACGATAACATCAAATTATCTTTTAACACAGTCTGACTGAAACCACTTTTTCCTAGTTTATCGTGCAGCTGTGTGGGCTTGGCATCTTTTTGATCCGTGATAGCCTCATATTTCCTCCTTACATCAAGGCGCAAATTTCAAACATCATAATAGCTTATTGACTAAATTGAGCTAGTTGTCAGGTTTACAAGAGATAACCTTACATTGGGCGTAGAGGACACTGCGTGAGACTCGACCTCGTAGGTTAGCTAGTTTGAAGCTCCTCGTGTGTGCGTGGCATCTTTTTATCCGTGATAGCTTCATATTTCCTCCTTACATCAAGGCGCAAATTTCAAATATTAAAATCCCTCCATCAGCTGGAAGGTTTCGAACTGTTTTACTAGTTTATTAGGTTATGAAGTTAGTAGTTACCATTGATAACCTCAAATTACTTCTTGCATTTGGTTGAAAATGAAGGGATCGAACGTCTGCAAAGTAAAATTAAATAAGAGAATTCATTGCGCCCGAAAATAGTTTTTTATTTTGTTTGTTTTATAACTCAACATTTGTTATAACTATAAACTTAAGATAAGTGATATTAAATACTGTTGGCCCTGCAGGCAAGTTGGCTTAGGCCTGGTTTGTCGCTTGGAGACAGGCGCTGTGATTATCTAACCTTTGAAGTGTGCACATATACTTTCGTTTCCTAGAGTTTTCCCTAACCTATTAATTGAAGTAAACAGAAAATTATAATACTGATTGATTACGAACCATTTTTGTTAGACTTAAATTTCGCCTCCAATCCACATTATCATTTTGACCATTCAAGTAAAGGAACCTTAATTTACATTCCTGGAAACGGATTGGGAGGTACTCTAGCGGAAAAGTGTCATAAAGCCCCTCCCGCCATCATGAATCAATTTAAGTAAATAAAAAAAACGTTTGTACTTTTATTTATACAAAAGAATGATAGTTGTATTTAGAATGTATAAAATGTTTTATAGTGAAGTCAATTTACATAATTAACACAGCCTTGTTTTAAAAAGTCGTTTCAGCCTTATTCTTTTTCATATGTAGGAGCGTAGTTTTACGGCAGACTTATCGGATTTGTACAAGAAGCCCGTGTCGGCCACTTGTAGGATGTTGTAGGTCGCAGTGTATATGGAGGTGTCGTAGAAATTGACGCCGGTCTCGAGGTCAAAGAGTGAGAACATATCGAGCCGGCCGCGTGAGGGGCAGATGAAGACGAACTTGCGACACAGGACGTGGAAACGGTCTTTGCCTGGCCTGAGGTACTTTGATCCGGCGAGCGGAGTCACCCACCTTGTCTTGTCCGCCTTCAAAGACACCATCGTGAATTTGACCTGGCCAGTCAGGTAGAGAAGGTTGTCCTCGAACAGGGCCAGCTTGTACACTTTGAACCTGTTCTCGACGGAGCACGTCTTCCGGTGGAGGTCGAAGAATACAGGTTCCGGGTCGCCGAAGTCTTGGCACTGAAGGAACGCGATCCCCATTTCGGACATGACTAGGCCAGTGTAGAATGCGCAGCTGTCTAGTTTGAAAGCTAAAAGTCCTGAATCGCTGTAGACCTGGACGCCGCAGGGGCGAAGGACAGAGACGTAACTCCTGTTGTGCCTCACTGTAACCAAATCATGGAGCGTCACGTTGCTAAACGATTTGCCAGCCCGGTCGAACACCTTGCAGCACGTCATAACATTACACTCACTGACTCCGATCCAGATGAAGTCGTCCGTGATGACGAAAACGTTCAGGCTGACCCCCTCGCTCTTCTTTTCGGTTATGACAGGAGGTCCGGTGAGGACGAGGTCATCCGGTGGCGAGAGGGTGGATTCGAGCTGGTACGTTCTACCCTTCAGAGTGTAGACAAATGAGAACGTTCCGTCGCCACAGACTAGCGTGTCGCCGACCGCGGTAATCGAAGTGGTCGGTATGCCGGTCTTCAGGTGCTGCACGACGACGAGGTGACTGCCTTCGATGCAGTGGACACCGACACCGTCATTCGTCCCCACCAGAAGCGTGACGCCGTGGACGAAGGCAGTAAGGATCTTGGGAGTGTTGATACTCCTGTACTTATCACTCTTCCACCTTTTACTCCTGCGTTGCGTGTACTGGTACAACCTCGCCCAACGGCACCGTTGTTCTTCAACCTTATCAACTGGAAAACAAGAAAAGAACATTCAAGTGAGTTTGTACCAGGAGAAAAACCAGATTTATATTATTATTATTATTATAGACCTAATACGTGTTACACAAAAGTAAAAATCAAATTTGTAATTTAATCGTTTAAACAATTTTATTCTTCAATGAAACGACTTGGATTTGGATGGGCCGGCTGCTAGATGCACGAGAAATAATCTCATATTACCTATTACATCGACATTAAAGCTCCCTGGAGATACATCCTAGAATCATCAGCACCCGTCGATCAAATCCCGAACGGGCACTGCCACAACACCAACAAGAATGAAGAGGATGGATGCTAGCTAAGAGGTCCAAACGTTTTGAGCCACATGCAGGCATCCCATTGCGACCCCAGGCATCTCAGAAAGCAGCAAGTGACAGCATAGGTCACTGAAGGGGATCCCAACCCGAAGAGTACCAACTGTCTTGCCATTGTAGTCTGTTACATAATATGTCGGCCTTAAGTAGGAAGAAAAAACGTGAGGTTTGGGAACAATTATGGAGTTAGGCAGAGGACATTTATTCGTAAAAAGAAGAGATGATGACTCGAAAGGCGATGTCTAGGTTTTAAGACATCGACGTGAATGCTATTCACAGGACTAGTACAAAAGACTACAATAACCCATCATTGGGTTGCCGTTCATAATGCAATAAGTGCATTGAGAGAGTACCTGATATCTTATACTAGACAGTTACGTAATTGATAGATTTTCCTCCGATGGTGTTCCTCAGAGTAGAGGTTCTGGCACCCACGCTTTCAGCTGTACACGGCTGAAATCCCATCTCATCTTCAACTAACTCTGATATTGTCGTATTGTAACCTTCAACAACACAACCACACTACTTGAGTCTTGTTATTGAAAGGAAAGTCCACCCACAAAACCTTTTAAGGGTGTGCATTCCAAATTAATCTTTGGTCGAGAGCAAGTCCTAGGAGTTACTTATTTGAAATGTTTTATTTCTTAATCTCCAAAGTTGTAGCAATGATATTGAGCTATTTCCTGGTGACTGGCACAATAGCTGCATTTGAGGGGGGTTTATATTCAGACCCTAAATCCTCCTCCATTTTAGCGTTAAATGTGATTGTACCCTTTATGGAACACGGCTTGGACTAAATTGTAATTTTTCTGACAATTGATGTGATTTAGGTAACAGAGCGATGTGGGATTTGATAAAGGATGAAGCCGTTTCGTGATTTTTCGATTATTTAAACAGTTTTAAAAACCAATTTTATTCTTCATCGAGCAGACTTGGATTTCGGTGTGGGTATCAAGCCCGTTCGTAATATCGTTGACACCATGTTAAAGTGACGAATATGGATTTCTCCACTTTTCAGGAGAGCCAAAAAACCGATTTACCCATAATTTTCAGTTAGGAAGTTACTTACTTTTTTAAATTTTTATTTAAATAGGTTTCATAAAGTGTACTGTTATTGTTTATTGTCATTTGTGTGTTTTTAATAATTTTAACTAATATATAAAATTATTTTGAAATATTCGTTACTTTGCTGCGTATAGAAATTTGTGTTGGCATGACACCAGATTGAAGGCAGAGTATCGAATGTGCAATTTTCCAGTAGATACGCTAGTTTTCAATGAATTTTCATTGCATAGGATTCGCTATTTTACAAACCAAAAAAAATTGACTAGTTTAGAAAATGGATAAGGAGATCGTGGAATTGAAAATTCTCGTAGGCTTTTTACAATAGTTTTATTTTACATAAAAAGGTTTACAAAAACAAGTTAAACCTATAAAAAATAAGTTATTTCCAAAACTGAAAAATACAATTTGTAGAAATTTATTTAAGTATACGAATACAGAGAATATAAAATAAAAGATGTACTATTATAATAAAAAGAGTTTTTATAAAAACGTAAATAAAATATTGAAATTAAAAAGAATTAAAAGTAAATTACAAGTAAAAAAAATTAAGAATTGAAAAGTAAATAAAATTGAAAAACATTAAAAAAGTTAACCTTCTTCTTCGCTGTCATCCGGTTCTGCTAGCCTATCTGGCACGCTAGTGTTTGATGGAAGTAGCTCAAAAAAATTTTTGTATGCTCTGGGTACTAGTCCCTGTTCACAGAAATGTAACAGGTTCTTTTTTTTTTGCATCTGAGATACAGAGCCGATCATTGTATTGTATAATATGTGGTGGAAGTAAATCGTCAGGAGCGATTTTTTTAAGTCCGCGTTTTCGTTTTCGTACAAGCGTCATGAATTCACCATTGACTTCATAATCTGTCTTTACAAATATTTTATTTTTTTCTGATCTACGGTATTGAAACCAAACGCAATCATTAAATTTTATTTTTGTATTCCCATCAATGTTGGTTCCATCATTATTATCTGAACTGTTTTTCTTTCTACCTTTTTCAATTGTTTTTTCAGGTACAAATTGATCTTGCTCAACATTAAAATTCAGGAAATCATCGTGTTGAAGCTTAATGACAATATAGGGAGAGGGTTTGCTACGAGCCAACCTTATTAATTGTTCCCAGTCAGTGGGTATGTATACTGGTCTATTTTTGGCCTTAGTCTCAATCTTGGAGTGGACCGAATCGGACTCCATTTCCGAATGACCAGGTTCGAAATATACGTGGTCAATTGTGTGTAAGTTAGGGTGCGCTTCCAAAGCAGAAAAACACATGGAAGAGAAATGATAATTTTTTTGTTGCCCACCGCAACTGTCGGACATCATTCGGACATGGGCTATCTCAGGGTGATCTAAAATGTATTTATATATAGATGTCGAGATTTCAACGCTCCCTCTCTTCCCCTCTGTTTCATCCCAAGTGTAGCAGTCTACTTTGGCATTGCCTAAATTGAACACTGTTAAATTGTACACAGCAAGCTTTCTAACGTAAAAAAAGGCCCAGCTGCGCCTTTTGGAGTATATAAAACAGCCTGGAGGTCAAAATTGAAAGACAAAGTTTTTGGATCCTCAGCCCCTGCTTTTTTTATCTTCATCCCTTCTAATTCTAGCGGAATCGGCACGACCCAAATGTCCGTTGTGTGCTGCTTGATTTTGTTCTTGTTCATTTTCGCTGCTTTCATTAAATTTCACACAAGTTTTACACAAATCCTTTTTAGGTTTGTGAAAGGTTAATTTATAAGTTCTGAAAACCTTGCGATAAGTCTCAAAACAACCAGGTTTCTGATTTTGTTCTTGACACTTTTCCTTGTATAAGTTGTACATGGTTCTAATGTTGAGTTCCGAACTCAGGTATTTAAACTCACTCGACTTTCTACAATAATGAGATTGGACAGCAGGAAATGCCTTGATGTGTTCCTTGATAAAATTTATCTGCGCCTCATTAAAGCCCTGTTTTCGCCCCCTATTTTCTGGATCCAAAAATCCGTTACTATTCAACTTTTTGAATGCACCCCTAACAAGTCCTTCTGAAATTCCTAAAGTGCGTAAAAAGAACTCCCTGCATACAGTGTATTTTTCATTATTGAATGTTAGCTCATAAACGCTTGTTTTCAAGTTCCGAGAAATGCCAGAAACAGTTCTTTTTGGATCATTTACTTGAATGTTCCTAATGAAAAATTCACGCTGATCTTTTAACGTTTTAAGAGAATGAAAATTATTGTAAATTTCTTGCCGGCCTTCTTCAGGAATCTCTAAGCAGCCGTTATGACCCCGGCGGTTAACGCAATTTGCAACTTGCATTGGTTTTGCGGGAATAAGTTTTCCTTTTACGGTCATATACGATTGACCACTAAGACGGAGAGATCTGTTTATATTACGTTTCCATTTTGATGGATCGGCTTTGTATCTTTTCTTAGGTGACTCAGAGCAGTTTACGTTATTTGAAATTGAGCTACTTACAGCAATGATCATATTATTATTATCGTTATGAGTGAAATCAACAGCAACAGGAATGGCAGGCTGAGAGGAATCAATCGCTTCAATAGGTGCAAGAAGTTCTGGTTGAGGGTTAACTGTAGCATGAGAGCCCCCTCCGAATACAGAAGTAGCTTTGGTATTGGTAGGCGTAGTTTTACCCTTAGAATCTAGAAACAGATGAAAAGTTGAATTACTTAAACCATACAATTATAATTATTATCTATAAGAAAAATTGAAAATTATTGACAATGATTGTGTAAACAAGTTGAAACTTACATTGTTTTGGAGAGTCTTCGTCTACTTCGGTGTCAGAATCCGTTATGGTTTCATTAGGAAGAAAGTTAGGATCTACATCAGAATCATCTGAGCTGAGATACAACTCTGTTAAAATAAAATTCGACGAATTCTCCGTCGCAGTGTCGTTGGCTAAAATAAAAAATTTAGTTTTCTTAACTGCAGTTCTGTTACTAATGAGGCAAAATAAAATATTTTTAAAAATGCGTTGCATCGTATCGTATTTTGTTAAAGTACTTAATAAAACTTACATGATTTTTTGTCACATGCTGAGATGCAACTTTTTCTTCGTTCAGTAGAACAAGAAGTTGATGGACCATCTTTGTAGACAGAGTCTCTTAACTTATTTAAAAATTCAATTCGTTTTGATCCCATTGTACTCGGGAAAGGTAAACGAAATACTAATGAAAAATCCCGAAAAAGCCAAGCACAACAGGATGTTGGGAGGAGGAGAATTAGTAGAACTGATGGTTTTCTTTGAAATTAAACAGCCCAGATCAACTTTTTATGATCCCAAGAAATTCGTAAAGGCATTCGTTAGTCTGCATTAAACATAAACACTTGAGTCAGTCAAATGGGATCATTGCCCAGTAACGAATGTGACACATTTTTGTTTCTATGCATTAAATAAACGAAAAACTATTGCATTGTATACTTGCGAATGTCCCATATTCGATAGTTTAGAATGATTTAATTTGGTGATGGCATGTAAAAATGTAATTGAAAACTAACGAATTTGGCATATTCGATATACGGAAATGGTGAATTTTAAAGATTGTCATCAGACCAATTATGAAAACTATCGAATATGATTATTCGTTTCTTAAGCATTCATATATCTAATGAAGCTAGAGATTCGTAAAAATGACATTACAGATTTCGGTCTACCGGTCACCGTATAGATTCAATATTTTACCACAAGGTGGGCCTCATAGAATGCAACGGTAAACGAACGAAAAAAAAAGCGATTTTTCACATTCGTCACTTTAACATGGTGTCAACGATATATGGGCCTAACTATCGGTAATATGGAAAATGTGAAAAATACGTTACCCAGTTTTTCTTTGTTCAGAGATTGAAAACAGTGTGATGAGTACCTAAATTCTCTGTGTTCGCCACATCTCACGATCTCCAAATAATCTTTTTCCTTTTTTAATACATGTAATATTTCAGTGTTATCCTCGGGCTTAAAGGTGTGATTCTCTCTGACAATATGGTCTTTAAATTCCGATAGGGAGCTAGATGTGTGGGTAGGTCTTCTTTTATCCTACTTTTTAATGTTCTACCTGTTTGACCAATTTCATCCACATTTGATTTTGTATACAACTCTGGTAGACCATTCACCCATTTTATCTTTTGGTCTGGATAAGATATCCCTTAAGGAGCTCGAATTTCTAAAACTAACCTTTTCCTTTTTTTTTTTTTTTTTTCAATTCCGTTGCTATTTTTTTTTCATTCTTTACCTAAGTAAGTAATCGCACAAAACTCAAGGGGGGTTCTTTTGTTTTTGTAGGTTTGTAACCTTGTCCAGTGCCAATCACTTTAACCGTTTTTAATTATTTTATATTGGGAGAAAACCAAAATTATACGCTAGATGTTTTATACATCTATTTCTTTTTTCATAATTTTTGCGACTTAGCGGTAAAAAAATAGCTCTATCTATAAGCCAAATAAGAGAAGCCATTTACGTAAACATCGGAACCTCACCATCGATGGTGGTACAACTATCGACCCCACAGTCTACACATCGATCGTTTAATGAGTTCTCATTACTCAAAACCACAAATTTTTTCATAGGCATAAATTATTTTTATGTGTTTCGAAACGTAAGTTAATTTTTCAAACTTCGCCATTTCTTAACCTTTATTACGAACTTAATTAATAAAAATCATAGTTTATTATTTAAATAACATTTATTAGAATTTTTTTCCCTCTGGTTCTATTTATAGTTATATCTCTCGGTCCCTTTTGAATTAAAGACGTCTATTTTTGAAGCATTTGTGACTGTGAATTTTAATCACAATAAATCCCTGTTTTTTTCTTCGCCCATCGTTACTTCGGAAAACATCCGTAATCCACCAAAACCAAATTCCTGTCCCTTGCTATAAAAAAAGCCCTAGCCATAAATAGCTAAAGGTTTAAAAATCTACCATATGCTTAATTTATCTAAATTTTTCAATGAAACATTACCACATCTTTCCCGGAACGGAATTAAAAAACGTAGCTTGCCAATTTACCTTCTAAGCGATTTATAGTTTTCCAAATAATTTTGTAAAATAATCGTTCAGAGGGAATAGATGTGCCAACTAAGGCAACAAATTGGGTAACAACTCCTGACAAGTTCGGATAGGAAACTTTCAAATCATAAGAATATGCTTCATTCCCCATCCACAAATGTGGGACGAAGGAAAAACTGAAAAAGCGTTTATAAAACATCTACAGCCCACCATGATGGTCAAAAAACATCGACACAGGAACATCTATGTTGAAAAATCGAACATCGGGTGCCTACCATCAATGTTTTCTAAACATCGACCATCGATGCTTTCTAAACATCGACCATCGATGCTTTCTAAACATCGACCATCGATGCTTTCTAAACATCGACCATCGATGCTTTCTAAACATCGACCATCGATGTTTTCTAGACATCGACCATCGATGCTTTCTAAACTTCGACAATCGATGCTTTCTAAACTTCGACAATCGATGTTTTCTAAACATCGACCATCGATTCTTTCTAAACACCGACCATCGATGCTCATCCTCAGTTAAAAGTTTAATAAACCGATTTTATTATTTTACAAGCCAACTTGTAAAAGAATAAAAGAGCGTTTATCATGTATACGAGTGATAACCTCACATTGCCTCTTTACGTCGACATACAAATTACAGCAGGCATAAATAGTGCACTGTTCTTAAAAAAAAGGGAAGTTTATAAAACATGGACACAGTAACATCGATGTTGAAAACATCGAACACCGGGTGCCTACCATCCATGTTAACTAAATATCGACCATTGATGCTCATCCCTAGTTACTACATAGAAGTAAATTGAAAATTAAACATAATTTAGAAAAGTAATTAGTCTGTGGTGGCCACCTGCACTTAACACGGCACCCGCTAGGTCCCACTACCGGCTCTGGAATGGTCTCGCCTTCCACTCTGCAGCGAATCAGAGCAGAGCCAGTGCGTATAAGAGAAGGGGCATGGCCTCACTAGCTGCAGACTCGTCTCCCCGATGAGATCTCGCTAATCACTAATGGAACACCCTTGACGATGGCAAGGGCATTCATAGCATTAGCCTCGAACTCGCATTCTCAACATAGCCGACTTGGCTACCTGCTGCATCAGAGTCCCTTCAACCGCCGTAGAGTCAACCGACTCACGGACCCGGACCTTTGCCAACGGATCTCTCGGTCCCGGACTCATTCATCGTCTCAACGCTACTCTTCATAAAAAAAAAAAAGTTTTATAAACCAATTTTATTCTTCTACGAGCCAACTTGGGTTTCGATGTGGGTATCAAGAACGTTTGTCGTGTACACTAGTGATAACATCACATTGCCTCTTTACGTCGACATTCTAATCACACCAGGCATACGTAGTGCGCTCTTCTTAAAAAAAAAAAAAAAAAAAAAAGTTCAGGCCTTACAGAAATCATCTATGAGTTTTTCTTCGAGGATCCGATCCCTCGAGCAGACGTTCTTCCACAGGAATTCCGAGTTGGCAATCCTAAACCAGGATTTGGACACGGCACCGGCACTTGCGAGGTCCTCGGCCGGCAAGTAGGTCAAGATCATCTCGGACAGCTCGGCCGGCAGGGCTGAGAAAAGGTCCCGGGTGCCATTCTGGAAAAAGAAGACCGCGTTTGAGAGAAGAGAAAAAAAAGGGGGGAAAGAATCTAGAGATAAACTCTGGAGACGTAGAGACTCACTTCCTCAGTCATGTCAAGGCGAGGTTGCTGATTGCTGATAGCGTATTAGAGAGCTCTGTGAAGGGGGTGCATTAGGCGGATCGTGACGTCACAAGATGGGAACCGCCAACGGGGAATTTTTTAAAACGCCGGAATTTTTTTAAAAGTTTCAGTATTAACAACTTAGTAGGTATCTAATCCACAAAAAATAAATAAATAAAAACATACAAAAAATACTGTACTGATTCGCTCACCCCTATCTTTAATTCTATGGAATTTAATTGAATCGGCTAAATTAATAACAGAAAAGAAACTAATGTGGAGTATTTAGTGACCGTTAAGATTATAGATTGTGAGTTGCGGTCTGGTGTGATGTACGTTTAGAAAAACATTTTCTTTATCGTGCCAACGTTTCGATCTTTATTGAGATCATCTTCAAAGTGAAGTGGCCCTGAAGATGGTCTCAATAAAATTCGAAATATTGGCAGTATAAAAAAAATGTTTTTATTTTAACCCTACATCTCACTATCTCTAAATAAACAAACTAATTTTGCACTTCCTCGTTTTAATCTTTCATCGCATCGTGGATACCTAACGGATTGTCATTCGCATCGCCCAACGCCGGTTCGGACCATACCTCCCTTCGGAGTGGTCCCAGAACATCCATTCAGCACTCCGGATTCTCCCACACATCTTTACCATTCTTTTACATCCTTTCTATCATCCTTCAACTATCATCACTGTTAACGCTGTCCTTATTTTACTTTTCGTTTCCTTCCTATTAATTTTAATCCTTTTTTTCCGTTATTATTGTGAAAATCTTCGAAGTAAAAGAAGAAAGGATCCGTAATTTAGTTTTAATATTTTTTTAAATAAACGTCGGAGAAAGTCTCTTTAATTTTTATTGTTTTTTACCTTGGGAACCGGTAACCCTGAGGATCACAGGGCCGCCGCCGGCTCAGTCCACGATCTCTCACGCTCGCAGACGATCGTACATAGAATTTTCTTGTCGATCGGGGATTTTTTCAACCCTCATACCGATACGATCCATCAATTATCATCATCATTGACATCAACGAGATCGTGGTTGCTGACCCTTCTGGAGATTGAATATAATCACCAGCCTTTGTTCATCGTGTGGCCCTTCATTTCTCGTAGGAGACGGTGGTTGAGGAATCTACGACCTTCTCTTCAGGATATCGCAGTGAGTCGTTCCAGTCTGCGTTGTGAAAGTCCGGTCAAAAACATTTTTCTAGTGTTAGTGTTGTGTTCAAGTGTTCATTGTTAAAATTTCGTTTACCTCGGTGGAATCATATTATCATCTGGTCTAATTTCAAAGGACATGTATTATAATTTGATTTGTTTTATAAAAGTAATCAATAACTTTAACCTGCAGGTACATATATTTTGTTTGCATGCTATAGAATAAGAAATTAAATTTTTTATGTGTTGTACAGGGTTTCTCATTTCTCCATTCAGTTTCCCTTTTCTCTTTTTGTTTCTTTCTTTGTTTCTTCCAAAGACCCTTTCTTCAATAAATTCGTAGTTTTCTTAATATTTAAATTTGCATCGTTCCTATTTTCTTTACCGTTTTCATTTCGCCCTTTTCTCCAGCGACGGTGACCGGTATTGTTGAAACGGAGGGGTGGCTGTGCTAGAAAGACGAGCACCCCCCTCTCAAGCATAAAGGGGTTAATTCGATGTCATTTATAAAATTAATGGTATGAACAATCCAGCTAGAAACATTGGAATAACATCATTTATGTTTAGTCGTCTAATTGACCATAGTAATTATTTTGTAGGAGAATTGCGTCGCCAGGTGCTATGATAAAGACCCTCATCTTCTCTCAGGCGATGCGATCCCCTCCAGGGAACTCATTCTGTTAAGGACTGAATGAACATCTGACAAATCCAGGTCTTTAATTCGTGGGCAGTTGCTTTCCCTTTTCACCCCTTTTCGTGGCAATTTATCATACAGCCATAGCGGATGAAATAATAAATAAACTAGCTATTTCAAGTGTAGTGGTGAAATGATTTGACAATGACATTTTTAGGCAGTGTCTGCGTTGTCTAGCACTTAGTGTAATGATGTCAATATGGTCCTACACATATTTCCATGTGATCTTTTTGCAAATGTAACTAAGAAATTGCTTGAGGGATTTATTCACCTTTGAAATAAACAGCACGAGGTGGTATTTTTTAGGTATACATTTGCTACTAGCTTTGAATCTTCTGGATTCATAACGATTCTTCATTGCTGGCACCTTATAGTTCAATGACTACCTCATCACTTCGCTTCTTAGAACCGCCAAGTTATCAGTTTCTAGGTGTAGTGAAATTTGTCAGTCCGGGGGAGATCAGAGGTGACCTTAAGACACGAGAACGGTCTAAGAACGCTTCCTGTGGTACTCATGCTTTTATCGCTTCACTTTCAGAATAACTGTTTCCACATTTGACTGAAAACGTTCTTTCTCCTAGGTACAATTTTTACCGGTGCTGTTAAACCCACAACGCTCAAATAAATCAAGCATCACTGACGAATATCCACCAATAAACGGGAAGAATTCCTGATGGGATAGTTTTAATGGATTGCAGTTCCGATGAGTCACACTCGGTACTGAGCACATATTTATTATTGTTTTACAATACAAAGTACAATACAAGACATCTGGGATCACGAACCTGAACCAAATAATAAACGGAGGTACCCAAGACCTCCTAGAACCATTGCCTCATTCACTTATTCTTTTCTCACTCTTCTCACTTCTTCAGCCCTGACTGATGACCACTTTTATAATGAATTCCATTCCCTTATCACCTTGGAGCACCACTTACGTCTCGAACTCCCTCTTCGACAAACTGGAACTTCGGTAACTGGAAATACCACAAAGAAAAAATACACGCCTGTTGTTTGATTCCTAACTAAATTGCTGTGTGAACATATGGCAATAAGATCTGGGGCTTTCCAGTAAGATCGAAGTGCTGAAATGTACAGCTAACGCACTTTGGCACGTCAGAAATAAAGACATTCGAGGAAGATATCTATAAAACTGCATTAACCAGCATGACTTAAAGGCGAAGTCAACGTACAATTAGTCCACCTACCTGTCAGAAGTCGAGTATACCTGACTAGACAATTAAGACGCGTCGAGCAACATTTTTTTAAACTAGAGTGTTGGGGTAGTGAGATAATCACTTGTGAACAAGTCAACTGGCTTAAATCCCCAATAAAATAGTTTAAACCTGTGCGTTTGGGTAAGGAGATAATTTAAGGTTATCACTTGTAAATCTATGCGTAGGGTTAGCACTAACAAACGAATGGAGATAATGTAAGATAATGTAATGCAATCACAGTGAGGTTAGCATTCGATTTAAGGTTATCACTTGTAAACCTATGCTTGGGGGAGGGTAACGAGGTTAAGTTAATGTAAGGTTAGCACTTACAAACGTATAGTGGTAATGTAAGGTTAGCGTTTGCAATCACAATGCGGTAATTTGAGGTTAGCATTTGCAAACCTGTGCGTTAGTGTATGGATGTAATTTGAGGTTATCATTTGTTAACATGGCTGTTGGTTTCAGAAGTTAATGTCAGGTTACTACTTGAAACCTGTTCGTCGTAATTTGAAATTATCACTTGTGCGTAAGGCCAGAAAAACGGATAATTGCCAGAAGAAATTTCATTAGGTATTTAAAAAATAATATTGAAGCTTAACACTACCAAGATTCTACATCAACACCCTAAAACAAGCACTGAAGACGCTGAGGGCATACTAATCCCTAAACCGGGTAAACTCTGGGCTCGGTTATATTTCTTAAAATTGTTTGGAGGGTGGAGGGAAGATAGAGGTTCGTTTTTTTAACAATTTTACTTTAATTTTTTTTAAACTATGTTTATCATTATTTCTAAAAATTTTGCACACAATATAAATAGAGAGAATTAAATAAATAATTTATGAAAGGGGAAGAATTGATTTTTGGAGCGTCTAATTAATTCTACCAGTCTGGATTGTCTCAAGGCTTGATAATGTCTTTATACGGGACACCTTTGATTATGTTAGCTATGACTTGGCGCAGGACGAGATTGATGCCTTCTGCGATCGGAGGGCCCATTTGCCTGTTGAACTCCTTCCAGTTCTCGTTGAGGGCGAGGTTTACGTTGTCACCTGTAAATTCGAGGAATATAAGAACTGGTTTTCGTAGGGTGGATAAGGATTCGGCGTTGGATTTTACCTAGGGTTTTATCCCCGTTGAAAAGTTTATCAAGTCTGAAGTGCACCCTCTCCGCCGTGTACTTGAGCTCAGTCTTGGTAAGCTGGGCAAATACCATACCCTTGGATGTGAAAGTTTTGTAGTCGATTTTGAATACAATCCTCGGCTTGTCTGTAAAAAGAGTTGAGTAGTTGATATAAAAAAATATTTAAGGTTAAAGGGTCTCGATGCGCACCCAGTACGATTTCGCAAGGTCCTTCGCCTCTGATTGGCAGGACAAGGAATTTCCCCTGCGCCTTATACATCGATTTAACCGTGATGGTGGGTATGTCCAGGGTCCATTCGACGTGCTTAGCCTTCGTGTTCATACTACGCTCGATAAATTTGGATCAATATGGATTAAAAATATATAAATGTAAGTGGATATTTACATAGCTCCGACTAGTTTGGCGTCTTTTAAACCGTAGATCTTTAGGTTGGTGAATGTGAGGTTCAAGGCGACGTTTCTCGACGAGGAATCCCTCACGTCGAGCTTCGTAATGCTGAGGGGCTCGAGAGTCGGGATCTTGAATTTTGGATCACCTGGAGAAGAAAAAAAACAAAAATGTAACGGAGAAGAATATCCTCGTTATATTAAAGGCCAGTTAACCAATTAACCATATCATACGTCATTATCGTCACGATTGAGACATCGTGTTTGCCCAGACCGCCTGTCATCTTGTACTTTATAAACCCCCCCTCCCCTAATACAAATCCTCTCCAACTAACATAATAATTTTCTGTTTTCTTCCCGTATTGAAAAAAAAATGAATCGAGGATTCTTGAAAAAAAATGCAAGCGTAGTAGCCTAGGCGGATCATGCACAAAGTGGCGACAGTCCCTGGGCGAGAAGGACGGCCGGATTTTTGTCTTAAACCACGGCGTTGAAAAATATATATAGTTATAAGACGTTAAAAAAATAAAATTTCATTAAAAAACCGGTCCCTCGCGAACTTGAACTTAGATATCCCTGTCACTGCCGGCTTACCTGGGTGCAGCTTTGGAATTGCAGAGTTGCCGTTCTTGATCGTGCACTCGACGAGCTTCGGGCCGTCTTTGCATGGGACAATGTACTGAGCTGAAAAACAAAAAACATGAATAAATTACTATCTGCACAAAGCCACAAAGTTTCAAACCGGTTTCTTAGTAATTAACCAAAGACCCTGATAGGACTTGTTTTCATTCCGGTCTACATTCTGCGTCTTAATCCTTCCGCCCCCTTATTATTAATTTATTTACGCTTATATATTCGCGGAAGAACAGAAAAAGAAGGAAAACCCGCAGAGGGCCGGCGATACCCGTAAACATACTACTATTTATATTTACTCTTATACGAATTTTTATTGGCACACTGGGGCCGGGTTTTTTCTCCTCTCTACATAACCCGATCAATTTATAAGTTCAATTGACTTGGTTAATTTATATACAGCGTTTTAGAAGTTGTTTGTATTGTAGAAGCAGTTTAAGTTTATTATTGGTAGTTATGTATGTTATGTAATTGTGTGGTGGTCAAGGATGTGTTTGTTAACAATAACAATTTTCCAAACCAAATCTAAAATAAATCAACCAAAGACCACTGTCATTTTTCTTTCTTTCTTGGAGCTTTAATTTTCCAAACAAAATCACAAAGATAACCCTAAAGTTTCAACAGTTACTTCATCTTGTTATTTTCATTTTGCATTAACATTTAAAAAGTTAAATTGTTTTAATGTGATTTCATCTCCTATAGCTTTAATTTTATAATCGAAATATTAAAAAAAAGCTAGTTTCAATATAATTTTTTTGTTGCTTTAATTTTGCAACCAAATCACTAGTGATAAGCCTAATCTTTCAATATTATGTATTCTAAGTTGTAGCTTTAATAGTACAATAACATCATTAATAACACTAACCATAGAATTTTCTGAAACTTTAATTTTGCAACCAAATCTTAAACGATAGCCATAAAATTTCAATATAGATTTGTAATTAATTATAGCTTTAATTTTGCACCCAAATATTAAACCTTAGCCGTAAAATTTCAATATAATTTTTTTATTTATTATAGCTTTAATTTTGCACCCAAATCTTAAATATGAACTTAACAACCAATATAATTTTCTCTTGTAGCACTAATGTTGCAACAAAATTTCAAAAGAAAGCCTTAAAACGTCTATACAATATGTTTCTGAAACTTTAATTTTTAATTTTGAACGATAGCCATAAAATTTGAATACATTTTTTTATTTATTATGACTCTAATTTTTCATTTGAATCTCAAATATCAACTTATACATTCAATTTAATCTTGAACCTTTAAATATAATAAAACCATAAAAGATATCTTAAAGTTCCAATATAATTTCTTCGTGGAGCTCTAACTGCATAACTAAATTTCACGGGAAATACGTTACTTTCAATAAATTGTTGCTTTAGTTGTCAAACTAGAAAAGATTACTAAAAAAATTCAGCATATGCTATTTCATTGTTAAGCTTTAATTTGCCAACGCAATCATGAAAAATTTCAAGATAATTTCATCGTTTAGCTTTAATTTGTTACACCCAGCCTCGACGAAGTATAATCCCTCCTCAGCTTTAATTTGTCCACCCCCCATTAAAACCATTATTCAAATTACATATTTTTCTTTAATTTGTTAAACCCAGTCTCTACTAAATTTTCACATGAAACATTTGCAAATTATAATATAATTTCATCTTTTACCTTTAATTTGTCAAACCCCCCCCCCCAGATGAAATATAATCCCTCCTCGCTTTAATTTGTCCACCCTCCATTAAAATCCTTACACAAATTTCATATTTTTCTTTAATTTGTTAAACCCAGTCTCTACTAAATTTTCACATGAAACATTTGCAAATTATAATATAATTTCATCTTTTACTTTTAATTTGTCAAACCCCTATAGATGAAATATAATCCCTCCTCGGCTTTAATTTGTTCACTAAATCTTATTATTAGAGAGCCATGGATACCCCAACTTTATAATCAAACTAGTATGGCTTTAATTCACATTGTTAAATCTTGTAAATAAAAATCCTAGTAATATACAAATCTTACATTAATTTGTTCATCTAAACAAAATATTAGAAGTAAACTGTGGCTTAAATATCTTTTGGATCTTGAGCAAAATGACGTCCGTTCGCCGGATTCTGAATGTATTATACACTAGCATATATTACCGCGATTCGTTTAGATTTAAATCAGAAGGTGTATATCTAAGTAGATTTTGATGGTTTATATTGCGTGAACTTACGAAGTGCGGCGAGGGACGCGCCGAACAGCATGACCAGGACGAGCAACATATTTCTGTGTTTCTATGACTGAACGTGTCCAATGTTCCAACGACTTCCAGCCGGTTGGGTAGACTAGATCTTAGTGGCAGGACGTGGATGAGGCACGTCCTTCTTAAATAGCCGGCCGTCCTTGGCAGGACTCCGCGAATCCTTTGGAACATTTCTCCTTAACTGGAGGAAGAGGAAGGAAGGGAAGACGCTTCCCGTCGGCTGTCAAATCGGACGTATTAGGAAGGAAAAAAGAGTGCAAAGGATTAATTCAAAAACTACCGCAACAAAAAAAACGTTCCCTTTTTAAAAACCCGTCCTGGGAAATGTCCGATCCATTATTTGGATAAACGCCCCTTCCTCTATAATTATTAAAGATTTTATTTTAAAAAACCGGTTCTTAATCTGAAAGGTCATCATTTTCTCACATTTTTTACATACAGGGGGACAGAAAAAAAACCTTGAACAATGACTAAGTGAATACCAGCAACCGAGTAATTAGAACAGCCTAACAAAGACACAAGAATAGAGCAAAACTGAATTCTAGCACTTAGGAAGAGATTCATGTCGACCACAAGGCTACTTTTTCTTGATTTCAAGGTGAAATAAAAAAAACTACACGGTGCATGCAGGCGAAATGGAACTGGATGTAAAAACTGTCCTGACTTTGGGAAACAAATTCGGAAAATGTTAAAGACCTAACCTACCACAAATGCCAATAGAAAGAATTAAAACTTTGGAAAGTTGTAAAGTGGACATTCTTAGACAGTAAATTCGTTAAGCGTAAAAATGTTTTTGTACATTCAACTCTACTTTTATCTCTTTGTAGAACTTTTATCGTTAACGGCTTTACATCAATTTATTAATCCGACGAGAAAGTACCAATATCCTGTAAATCTCCTGAAAAGTCGAATGAACCGAAAAACTTTTTCTCAGTGTAGCATTTTAATCGTACAAGAAATCTTACCTTCATAAAATTGTTTATTTACTGTACATGCAGTATTTTCAAGTTAGAAACAAGAGTACCAGTTATAGTACATTACCTTTCGACTTAAATAAATCAAGAATATACACACAAAATTCCACCCAATTGATTTTATTTCCCATTTTCTCGATAAAAGGAAATTCTGCCGTTAATTTGTCTCATTATTTTTACCAACAAATATTTATTTATGCTATGTTTGGGAATAGCAGTTAGAGGTAAACACACTTCATCCTTAATTCAAACCAAGAATAAAGGATCTTTCAATGTTTACTTTTTACGGGATTCAAAATGTTTATACAGTATCATTTGAATTCTGAAGCAATAAACTGTTTAGTTTTCATCCTTGTGTTCTTAGTTTCAATTTTTAAAATTAAAAATGCCTCTTAGTGCTGAGGATGTTGCGCGTGGTGAGGCACTTATTGATGATGGACGTTCCATCGGGTATGCGGCTATTGCCATCGGAGTTCCCTATGAAACTCTGGTCCTACCATAGAAGGCTCCGTTCTGGACGTCCTAGGGTAACAGAACCACAGGATGAGTTTTTTATTTTGAGAATTTTGCGTAACCGGCACCTTGATGTTCAAGCGATTCATCAGCCCGACTAAGTTCGAGGTGTCCAAATTTCTGAACGCACTTCTCGAAGAAGATTAAATCGGTAGACCGATGGAGGACTTGAACACACGGCTTGCACGGCTCGTCCATTTGCTGGAGAACACAGAAATCGCTCTTTGGCAAATTGTTCTGCTGTACTTTTTACAGATGAGTGTAGATTTGCTTTACGATCTCCAGACGGTACGAAGGCACGAAGCCTGTAATTTTTCCCAGAGCCAACCTTTTCAACGTAGCTCAGTGATGGTATGGACGGCAATTTCAATGGAGCCACTCGCCATGTGGACGAAATTTTGGAACATCATGCGTTGCCTTTGCTCGATGAAATCAGCGACAATCCTATTCTAATGCACTTGTCGCTCGCATTGTACAACAAATCAGCAGCATGACATCGCGGTCTTAGCCTGGCTAGCCCGTTCTCCAAATTTGAACCCCATGGAACATTTATGCGATAACTTCGAAAGACAAATAAGAGCACGTCCTTCCTGATAGACTCCACGATCTTGAAAGGTCTCTTCATGAAAAATGGGCTCCAGCAAAGAGACCTTTCCAGACTGGTAGAAAGTATGCCGGGGCGTCTTTGAGATGTAATTAAGGCAAGAAGAAGAAAAGACCTATTTCGCTTAGCTTGCGATATAAAATGGTACACACCGTACAAACGTTTGCGTGAAGATCCAGTCAGTAGGGTCACAAAGCTTGCTGGGTTGCTGACCACAACAAAACCCCAAGTAAGCAAGCCGTAAGTGTTCATAAATTGGGCAATTGGATAAAATATGTGAAAGGTCCTCCTTTTCGGCTAAACAGCATAGGGAGCAAAACGAATTAAGATCAATCTTGTAAATCTGCTTGGAAATAATACATTTTAGGCAACTCACTAGTTTTCGTGGTCCACTTGACCAATTAATATCTTTCAATTAATTAAGGTTTTTAGATGAGATAAAAAAGTCAGTTTCACGAGCGGGGTTCGAACCCATGACCTACCACTTGAGATATCATGACTTCGATCCACTCGGACACTAACTTCCCATCTCAACCGCGCCTTTTGAATTTTCCCTCCTTTTTGCCATTTTTCAAATGTCATGTAATCTATTTGATTCTCGGCGACAAATGAATTGGCCACAGAGAGCTTTAGCGAAGTATACTTCATTTTAACTTATTAAATTGACTAGTTTTCGTGGTCCGCTTGACCACTTAATATCTTTCAATTAATTAAGGTTTTTAGTTGAAATAAAAAGTCAGTGTCACGAGCGGGATTCGAACACACGACCTTCGGCTCAACCGCACCTTTTGAATTTTCCCTCCTTTTTGCCATTTTTCAAATGTCGTGTAGTCTATTTGATTCTCGCGACAAAAGGAGGGAAAATTCAAAAGGTGCGGTTGAGATGGTACGTTAGTGTCCGAGTGGATCAAAGTCACGATAGGTCAAGTGGTAGAGCAACGGCGTATCTTCGAATCCCGCTCGTAACACTGACTTTTTTATCTCAACTAAAAACCTTAATTAATTGAAAGATTTTAGGCAATATTTACTAAAATTACGGTCCTGGAAAATGACTTTAGTTATCTCAAAACGAGCCATGTTCAATAGGATTCTGTACCAGTTGTGAATAATAACTGCTATAATTAGATTCTTTTAATTTAACGCTGTTATTTTGTTTTAACGAGTTGTAATAAACATAAACTGTATTATGGTTCGGTTCATTTACATCTTGTCGGTACCTCAAGGCAACATAATAATCAAAACAGCCTCTTTATACAATGACAGGAAAAAAATTCCACCCATTTGTAATATAACGTGATCTGAATATATTTCTATATGTTAATCAAAGTTTCACGTTTTTTTAATGTTTAATAATTGAATCTTTGTCTAAAAAAGTAAAAAAAAAAAGTAAATTGCTAAGGAAAAGAATAACGAACAGATAACATTTGTTTTAATTTTCCTTTAGATTTTTAATTACCATTTCATTCAGTATCGCGTATTTCCTCCTCCTTCATACCTCCGCCATACTTTCTACCAGTCTAGAAATGTCTTTTGCTGGAGGTTGGGCGATTCTTCATGAAGAGGCCTTTCAAGATAGTGTAGTGTATGAGGAAGGAAGTGCTCTTATTCGTCTTTTGAGGTTATCGCATAAATGTTCCATGGGGTTCAAGTCTATAGAACAGGCTGGCCAGGACCATGATGTTATGCTGTTGAAGGTACGTTTCTACTATGCGAGCGAGATGTGCATTAGAATAGGATTGTCGCTGATTTCATGGAGGATAGGCAACGCATGATGTTCCAAAATTCCAACCACCAATGAAATTGCCGCCCACACCATGCCTGAGCTACGTTGAAAAGTTGGCTCTGGTATAAGTTACAAGCTTCGTACCTTTCATTTCGCCTTCTCCGCACACTTTCACGCCCATCTGGAGATCCTTGAATAAATCTAAATCATCAGTAAAATGTACAGCAGACCAATCGTCCAAAAAATAATTTCTGTGTTATCCAGCAAATGGGCGAGCCGTGCAACGATGTGTATTCTGGTCCACTTACCGGGCGAAAAGCCATCGGTCCATATTGATTTAATCTTCTTCGAGCAGTGCTTTGCTTGAACAACAGTAAGATGCCGGTTTCGAAAAATTCTCAACGTCAAAAAACTCATCCTGTGATTCTGTTACCCTAGGACGTTAAGAACGGAGCCTTCTATGGTAGGACCAGAGTTTCATAGGGAACTCCGATGGCAATAGCCGCATAACCGATGGAACGTCCATCATCAATAAGTGCCTCACCACGCGCAACATCCTCAGCACTAAGAGGCATTTTTAAGTTTAAAAATTGAAACGAAGAACACAAGGATGAAAAGTAAACAGTTTATTGCTTCAGAATTCAAACGAGACTGTATAAACATTTTAAATTCTGTAAAAAGTAAACATTAAAAATTCCTTTATCCTTGTTTTAAATTAAGGATTGATATCCCCAATTTAAAACATAGCATAAATAAATATTTATTGGTAAAAACCATGAGACAAATTAAGGGCAGAATTTTTTGTGTATTCTTTATTTATGTAAGTCGAGAGGTAAAATACTACTGGTACTCTTGTTTCTAACTTTAAACATGTATATACAAGTATATGGGCAGTAAATAAATAATTTTTTGAAGGTACGATTCTTGTACGATTAAAATGCTACACTGGGAAAACGTTTCTCGGTTCAGTCAGAATTTTCAGGAGATTTACAGGGTATTGGTGCTTTCTCGTGGGATTAATAAATTAATATAAAGTCGTTAACGATAAAAGATCTAAAAAGAGAAAAATATAAAGTTGAAAGTACAAAAACATTTTTACACTTAACAAATTTACTGCCTAAGAATGTTCACGTTACAACTTTGCAAAAATTTTAATTCTTTCTATTGGCATTTGTGGTAGGTTTAGGTCTTTTTCCGAATTTGTTTCCCAAAGTCAGGATAAGTTTTAAAAAGCACTGCTTTGGTGTGGTGGAGTGCTTTTGGGAACGCAACCACCAAGGTGATTGTCCCAATGACGGGC